TATTAATTATTAATAGTGTTCTTATGTATATAAATTATTTTTTTATAAAATTGCTATTTATTAAATAATATATATATCGCGTAAAAGGAAATAAATGCCGCATATTTAACGCGCACTTCATAATATTTTAGTTAAAACTAAAAAAAATTCATGATTGAATAAGGTTATCAAATATTTCATTAATTTGAGCATTTTTTAATGTGCCAACTTATGATATAAATACTTTATACATGTCATGTTCTATTTGTTATGTGTGCGTGTGTGTGTGTGTGTGTGTGCGCGTGCGTGCGTGTTATTAATTCAAAATTAAAGATTGCCGCTTTTTCAGCATCACTTCAAGCAATCTATCCCTCATATACTTAAAAATCGACAAAATTCACAAGTTTTAAAACAATATCCTAATTTGTGTGTAATGTGTATATAATTATTTTATAACAATTATTTATATAATACAATTGTTTCATTTGATAAGGATAAATTATTTTTTAGTTGGCAGTAATACAGTTATTATTGCCAACTAAAAAATAATTTATCCTTATCAAATGAAATAATTGTAGCGAAGTTATTCTAATAACTTTTGCAATAAACCTGTAGTATAATTGATGTTTGATTAGGGATTAGATATATTACGTTGGCATCGCAAATTTGCTAAAGCATATATATTCTCATGAGAAGCGAAAGGATACTTGCTTATGGCAACAGCAAGGCTGCGGTTATCTTGAATCTGTCATTTAGGGACACAAAACGAGGATATTTATAAATTGAAATCACAGACTTAAAAGTATATCAACCTCACAATCTATATATTGAAACATAATATACACTTTTTCACATCCATATTTTTACTTTAATGAACACCTGTAATTTTTAATTATTTGAATGGCCCGAAAAGCCATATCTATCTAATTTATGTTTGCCTTTGTTCAAACATGTGATGTTAGAAAACGCAAGTCAAAGGCTTGTGGTACTCAGGATTGTTTTTCCATGCCTAACATTTTTATAACAAACATCGTTTAATTATACATGCATGCGTTTTTACATATGCACACGTGGATAAAAAAGCTGAGTGGGAGCTTTGTTTTTCGAGTAACAGTGATGAATGTATGTGATCTTTACATATTCATCTATTAATAGAGAGATCTGAATTTTTCATAAGTTGTTTCCATACGGATTTCTATTGAATCTTCGATCTTCGAGACTCGTCTGTAACCTTCTGTAACCAACATTCTGTTCGTGTATACGAATTGCTTTTGCAACTGACTGCCTCTTCTTACGGGAGAAGGGAAAGGAAGAGGGGAGTCCACCATCTTAACTCTTTTCTCTTTTCCCTCCTTCGTTCGCGATGGGTTCTCCCACTCGGTCGAGCTTCAACTATGGTCGCTGCTGCGAATCAAGATTGCACTGACTGTAAACGCCAAGCCACGCAATGAAATATAAAGAAGATGCGAGGATCGCAGAATAGATGAAATTATCCCTTATAAAGATAATTAAGCCCATATATTTGAAAGAAAATTCTAGTAATAAGTGATCATGATCTCTGAAAAAAATGTTTTATTAATTATTTAGATCGATTAATCTACAATTAAAATGACAATTTATATGTCAGTAATATGTGATAATCTATGTTTTTCTATATTTTTGTAGGATATATGTAATGTCAAGCGCTTATGTGTAACTGATTGGCACAATTGCATAACGTGTGTCATGTCACATATGCTATCTCATTTATGTTTTTTTGTTTCTTTTTACTTCTCTTAAGACTTAGAAAATGATATACCTATTATCTCCTGAAACGGAACCTTTAACCCCATCTTCCAATATAATATTGTCCGCTGTGACGTCATGCATTTATAATTTATGAGAACGTTGCGTGTACGTTTGAGTCGACCTTGTACATATGTACACAACATATTCTATATAGTTGCCACATCTTAATGATCTCTGAAAAAAAATGTTTTATTAATTATTTAGATCGATTAATCTACAATTAAAATGACAATTTATATGTCAGTAATATGTGATAATCTATGTTTTTCTATATTTTTGTAGGATATATGTAATGTCAAGCGCTTATGTGTAACTGATTGGCACAATTGCATAACGTGTGTCATGTCACATATGCTATCTCATTTATGTTTTTTTGTTTCTTTTTACTTCTCTTAAGACTTAGAAAATGATATACCTATTATCTCCTGAAACGGAACCTTTAACCCCATCTTCCAATATAATATTGTCCGCTGTGACGTCATGCATTTATAATTTATGAGAACGTTGCGTGTACGTTTGAGTCGACCTTGTACATATGTACACAACATATTCTATATAGTTGCCACATCTTATCGAAAAAAAGCACATTGCCTTTTTGCCTTGCAAATTTCTTTTTTGTTCTCCTTTTCCTTTTCTGCTTTGTTTTCTTCGCATAACATGTATCATAATTTGATGACTAAATATCCGAAAATTTATTCAATTTTCTCAAAAATAAGTCTACTAGATTTGTGCATTTTAGAATTTATTCTTAGACATTTATCTGATCGATTCTCATTTGAGGATTCCAAAGGATATCCATATTTTTTTTGCACGATGCAATTAGAAATAAATGCACGTTTTTGCAGTTTTCCGAAAAACCAGTTTACTTTTTTTGTTACATTATTCCTGTGGCGTGTATATATATATGAAAGAATCTCTTACGTAACGAAAGCTATTCGAAAGAGCGACTTATATTTATGTAATATAGCTGGGAGAGAGAAAAAGAGAGAGATATTCCTCTCTTTTATATATTACGCCACAATTTTTCATTGACATGCGGTATGATTCGAAGACGCTGATTCGAGCTCACAGCATGATGATAAATCGTCTCTAGGAGAACTACCTTGATCCGTTAACCCCGTACTTTGAAAAACCTGCTTATTAAGTTTCTTGCATAGACACGACATTAGTGTCGCGATTGTACAGAGTTTGAAGCTGTAAATGTTCTCATTTCTCAAAGATAAAAAACTGTACTAAATACATAAAAAAGTTTCAAAATCTGTGTGCAAGTAAAACTAAAAAAAAAAATTCTTTTAATAGAAAATTATTGTATAGGCATTATTAACAAAATTGTTATTTAAAAGAAAATGTAAAATCAATGCAATTATCAAACATTAGAGAAGATTATTTAGAGAAAATTAAAAAAGATTTTGTAAAGAAGTATTAACTATGTTAGAATCTTTATAGAAATCACAGAGAGTTTGGAAAAATGGCAAACAGCAATGAAATAATAATTTCATGGAAAGATAAATTTTGTTAAATAATATACATATAAATTATTAATTGAATTAATTATAAAATTTGTCATTATTATAATATACGATTTACATGTTATATTACAAAATTTGAAGAACATAAAAATGTTAGATATTTAAATAGGATAAAAAATATCTTAACACATGAGTTTGCACGCGTATCGGAATATATATGTGTGTGCTTCGTTTCTAAATATTCGTGCATTATGGAGATTATTGATTATTTGAGAAACAGTGTTGACACTATTTTAAAGGAGAATAAAAAATTATTTAAAAAGTTATTATTTTATTATTTATTTCTTAAATAACCAAAGTCATGATGCACGAGCATATAAAGATAAAATATGCGCGTCGAATGTATCTTGATACATGTGTAAATTCATGAGTTAAGATATTTCTGACCTTGTGTACATCCTGATTCCACAGTATAGTGGTCTTAAAATTTGATCTTTTGGCCAAATTTCTGAATCACTAATAAAAATGATTTTAATTCTAGTTTAAAAATAATTCTTGAATTAGAAACATTAGAGGGAGAGAGAAAATTAATCGTTTATAAGAATCTTAATGAAAAATTTTGTACATCGTATTTAAAGAAACTTGGATAGTTTGTATAAAAACATCCATTTCTACGAGATCTACATGTATATTTCATTTTATTATTAAAAATTTATGCGCGGATGAAAAATTATAAAATTTATTTTTAATACTCAACACACACACACACACACACATTTTTTTTCAAAAATAAATATTTACATAGAAAGAGAAAAAGAAAAAGAAAAATAGCTGTTTTTGTAAATTAAGTTAATGACAAATTTTTCTATTTGAAGATTATATATTTTTTAATCCTAAAATCATTATCTCTATTTCAGAAATAAATGAAAAACAGACAAAAAATATAAAAATATTTATCTCGAGACATGTTCTTCATATAGTATCTCAAGTATTTATGATATAAGTATTATTATTGAGAATCATATAAATAATTGATTTAAATGTATCGTTGACACGCACAAATGCGATCAATGTTAATCTTATGTATGCAATATTTTAAGCGATGTATTTACTGATAAATGATAAAAAAGAATGATAAATGATATAACAATTTATAATGATTTGATAATAGAGCATCACAAAATTATATTTATATTTATCTGAAATAAAACTCAGGAAAATAAATTTTGATCAAAAGATTCCGATTTTAGATCATTGCAAGCTGGTCGTATAATCCATTCGTAAGAAATAATTATCATTCACTAAATTATCAAGTCACAAGTATATATGTACCAATGTATTTTTAACTGCCCCTATTAATATGCAATCGCTGCAGCAGTTGGAAATGTACTGGTTTCGTTGCACAGGCGCGCTTATACGTTAATATTACTAACCGCGATAAATTGTCGATGCACGAAAGAATGCATTCAAATTCAAGGATGGATTGATACATATTTTTTTAGTTTTTTTTTATTTCTAAAAGTGAAAAGTTTTAAGCGCGAACAAACGCTTTGAAATGTTTACTTATATATAATTAACGCAATTTGTTTCCAATAAGCAAATGTAAAAGCGCTCGCTTTATTCGCGTAACTTTTCCACTAATATCAGATAAAATTAAGTTGCAATTTTCTGCGTACAAGAAAAATAATTGATACGTTTCACGCTGCATAGCAACAGCTTGCCAAGTTTTTGCGGTGTCTCCTCACGGTGGACTTGTTTTTGCAGGTACTAGGTAGGCAGCAGTATATCGTACGACCGATGATAATGGAGGAAAGTTGTACTTCTGGAACCGGTAGTGACAACCCGGCGATTGCCGGAAGTAGCGGTATCATTGGCGAGGCAGCGCTGGCACATGCTCCAGCCTTGACTGAACGAAATCTTCGAGAATACGGGATACCTCTGCAGCAAGCTATCGAAAAGGTGTTTGTCATATAAAAAGTAGCAAGAGAATAAAGTTTTGGATTTAAAATATTTATTAAGGATTTTATTATGATTAACAGAGATTTATTTCTTATTATAGTTAAAAGAATCTTATTAAGAGACAGTTAATAAAAGATTCTTGTTTATTATTTATTTACTTATTGAGAGAGAGGAAAATTTGAATTTTTTTACAAGTCTCCATTTAAAAGATAAATGAGTATTTATAAAAAAAACATTCTGTTTTCAAATTATTTTTTTTATTATATATTTGTCAATAATATTTAAGGAATTAATATAATAATGATAAAATAACAAATATATCTAGTATCGCGCAATGTCATTTTTATTTCAAGTTTGAAGCCTGGTGGATCTCCATGTCTGGTGTCACATTTGGTGCTAAACCACGATTCGTCGTAGATGGCCAGGCGCCAATGAGGCAGTGTCTTCATCCGGAAGCCTGCAACAAAGATATCGAACTGCCGGAACACTATAATTATTTCCACGATCTCCGGAAGGAATTCGTAGAGTGCTATTCATCTTATGGAGAATTATCCACCCTTGGAGTACAAGAAATGCTGCAATGTATCCTTTTAAATTTGTTATGCAGAAATTGTCATGAATTACTAATTGCAAGCTGACTTTATCGCGTATTTTTTCTATTTTATATCTTTTTTTCTACACATTTAGCAAATATTTTTAATCTCTTTCTTTCCGTTTTCGATTTGTAAAATGGATGATATTATTTTTGACATTGGTGCTACTCCATGCTACTAGTTCAATAATAGCGATTATTAATACATGAGTGTATCAATTTTTTTATCATAATTTATTAATAATGGTTTTCTCGTCTTTGACATTCTATTTCAAAATATCAGATGTAAAAATGGAGCAATTTATTTATTGACAATTTTGATCGTCATGATTTCTTTACCTTGCCGCTACACTCTGAAGACACTATTATTTTTGAAAAATCTTCATTTTTAATTAGCTGTGACTTAATTAGTCTCTTGAAATCTTTGTTATGGAAAAATTATCACAAGTTAGTTAAATTAACCGTATATGAAATATTTTGTAGGGATCGGTCTCTCTGTATCGATTCGAAGTACGCTATGTCAGTTAGGAAATTTCGCACAGTATTGTATGTTAATACCAGTCCACACCATCTTTGTCGATATTGTTGTATTGATAACGGTTCACTGATAAATGTTCACTGCGCGATGACATTTTATAGTCTTGCGGTCTAACTTGATTTGCATAATGCACATTGGCATGACTAAAGCAAAAGAAACACATTTGTTGTACCGTTTGCTAATTTTTACATCAAAGACTTTTGCATCGTATAGCCGCCAGACGGCGCGACGAAAGTCCGATTGAGACACTCGGTTTTCGACGATATCGTCGTCCAAACCAGAGTCAGTAATCTTTGCGGTCGTATAAAGTACAAACGCACGTATCACATTGTTGCTCCATCCATGAAGCGAGCACGATTGTGACGAATTTTCGACTGCCTTCGCGCAATCACGCGGTTTTTATACAAAACGAAAAAATCGGGATTAAAAAAATCAATCTTTGTAGCAGAGAGTATCATCGAAACATCGTCCTTCATACATACAGTGGCAGAAATTATTTTGGGCTCATCAACGCATGTGCATTTCAACGACGTTTGGAAAGTAAATTGTGGATAGGTATGTTTTTTATTCTGTTTCTAGGATTTGATGTGTTTAGAAGATTATTTAAATATCAGGTCGTTAATTTCGAAAAGTTATTCGAAAAATAAGATTCTGTTATCGATCGGTGCTCTTCAAGCTTGATATGACAGATTTTTTAATCTTCTGTGTGTTAAATAACATGGTAATTAAATTAATCTCAATTCTTATTTATTTATAAAAGTGATACCCCTAATTCAATAAGGATATCACGCTATTATTTTATTATATTTTATTGGTCGGAAACTTTATGGATGAAATTTATTTTAAGGTTTTATTTTCTCCACACACATACATACACACCATACATATACAAAATAATTTATTTTCTTAGTCCGATTTCAATTCGGATTTACACTGGATAAGCGACATCGATTTTCTTTTTATATCTGCGCCGTGTTGTATGTATCCATCTGATAGTAATAAAATAAGACCACTTGTGCTGGCTCTAAATAATATGTGTATGAATATACACATGTGCATACCGATCGACTCATCGCTCACCTGTTCAATGTGTTGAGATTCGTCAATCCACATGCTATTTAAATTTTTTACAAGCTTGTCACGAACGCGCACATACACTTATAGATATAATATATTTGTATATTTAAAAAATTGAAAACTTATTTCAAAACAAAAATTAGTAAAGAATTTGGAGCGTATTTGCTATCAGATTTTATCAATATTCTGTTTACAAATTTCTGCATGTTATTATTATTTATACATTTTTTTAAACGCTCTGTTAAAAATTAGAAACATTTAATATTGTCATCAAATTAATACGAGCATATTTATGCCATTGATATTGCATACTTTATCAAAATTGCTGACCTTCTTTTATTACTTCTATCTCAGTTAGGATTTCGAAAACAAGAGATTATTTCGTTAACGAGAGATTCCTTCTTAATTTCAATTCATTCAAAAATGTTGGAATATGAATTTTGCTTCCACATAATTTTTCTTTCCTTATACCTTCAATAGGACACATTTTTGGTTCATTTCTTTGCGGCTAAGGAAAAAGTTGCGGGAAGAGAAAAAAGAAAATGTACTTTTGTTACAATCAATAACGACCAGATGACTTGAAAAAGCTTTGGCTTAAGCAATGCGGTCTTATCGAGACATGGTTTAAAGGTCAACCCTGTAGCGAAGATATTAAGCTAGTGATGAATAAACGTCATATTTGCGTGTGTATGTGTGTAACATGCACACACAGTTTCTTCGATTTTCTTGACGGTTCGAGTTTTTGATTAGATGCCCGTTACTAATCTGTGTAATTCGTATTAACGTACATGACGCTCGTGCTTATTATCTGAATATTATAACAGCGCTCTCATTCACACACATTTACAATTAATTATAGAGTATTATAGTAATACTCTTCTCTCTCTCTCCTTATTTTTGTTTGAGGTCTCTCAACAGTGTTGAAACACTGTTTATGAAACCGTATAGCAAAATTAACTGTTGTAAAGTTGTGAATGTATGAAGTGATGATTAAAATTTCAAATCTTACTTATATATAAACACACATACATATACACACAAATAAAATTGTTTTCTATACTATATATTATTACTATATACTCTTTTATCTCATCGTTATATAAAATCTATATAATTTAGGTCACATGCTAGGATCACATGCAAAGTAGCACTGATGTCATTTATAATCAAAGAGTTCATACGGAAAAAAACATATGTGAAAGATACAAAGTTGATTACACAAATTATTATTTCTGATATTTCTTATTTTCAGCTTGTTTTGAAATAATTATTTTTTCAGATTGCATCTTTATATGTTTTATTTTATGTTTTATTATCTTTTAAAGAAATGCAAAGTTATAAGTTTCTACATTTATATGTCTTGAGAAGTTATGAGATTATTCATACTTTCCTTTTACTGTGACACTTACTTCGCATTTATATCTTATTATTAACGTTATAACGAATATTATTAACGTTGATAGATCTTGACGGTAAGAGAAGAAAATGTACAATTCTGTAAACGTTTCGTATGATTCCCGTTTCTGATAAATTTGAGTCAGCGTGCAGCGCAAAGGTCGTATAAGAACTCTAACTTGACAATCTCACTCCAAGAGACTTCTTGAAAACACGGACGAATAATATATTATATGCGTCAGCATTATAATATCAAAATCGATTTTATCGTACTCGAACAGATTTCTCCTTGATAGTTAAAAACCAGATTTTGGTCTGCCGCCTGATACCGACAATGATTTTCATGTTAAAGAAATACAGGATATGGTGAACGTGATACAGAGAATGATCAAAGATGGTAAGCTAATAAGTATCAGTTTGCCGAATACTGCAATTGTACGTATTCTATCTGTCAATATCATGGGGAATGCACAAAAAATATATATCTACATTTCTTCAAGTTTCCTAAGAAGAAAAAACAAACATAATTCAATCAATTAAGTTTATCTAATCTTGGAAAATGTAAGAAAAAGAGAGAGAGAAAAGAGAGAGTATTAATTTATCAATTTTCTCAAAATTATGAAGAGGGAAAAACCTGATATTTTAAAACATCTGCTTTCTCGGGAGCACGTATCTTTCCTTTGTTTTTTATTTTTTTTACTTGGCGTTTATAAGATAAGAGCGAGTTTCACATTAGTACGTGCGGACATACATATACAAGATGTAACATTGTGCATGCATTTTTCCAAATAATATGCAGTATGTTTACGCAGTATGATGACGATGCCCTTGAAGATTGCAATTGCGTCAATAATTAAATCACTCTTGAATCAAAGAAATAATTTGCTCGAAAAAACTCCGTGCAATTTTTGATTATGCGGATAATATGATCGTCAGAATATATTTTCTTTAAGAAACAAATATTGCTTGTTCGGTATGCCAAGATAGAGTTTTTCTAAATTTTGGAAATTTTGAGATTTAACAATAGAACTATTTCTGAATAATAATTTTCAAGTGTTGTACTCATTGTTGCACTCATAGTCTCTCTTCTAGTTGTATACAAGTAAGAGCGTAGGTCAAACTGTGTTTTAAGTTTAATACTGGTGGCGTATTATAGCTTTCTTATCACAGTGACACTCAACCTACAGAAAATTACGTCATTGACTAATATGCACTAATACCGCGTGCTATCGCGAGATGTATGCGAAAAAAAAAACGGGTTGCGCTTTTGACACCGCCTATTTTCTAATCTGCTATATTAATGAAATATTACGCGTTTAGAACAGTAACTTAAACAACTAAAAATATTATTTATATTAATTAGTATACTTAAATCTCTTTCTCACTCTCTCTCTCCTTTTCTCTCCCCTCCCAAAATGAAAGCTTATGCATAATCGGAGAAAACAATTTTTAATTTTTATTATAATTGTCCATAAAATTTATTATGTGACAACTCAGGAAATTTGTAAAACATAATATTTAGTTTCAGCGTTATTAAAAAATATTCAAAGATGTTTAGTAATTTTGAATACATATTTTATAGATAAATATTATATATATATATATAACACGATATCTCTTCAAAAATGTCCGAACAATGTTTATTCTGTCTTTGTTTTTGTAAACTTGTTCTTACGATTTTTTCTTTTTGTTATGATTTTTTTATATAATTCATTTTCCATTTGTTGCATTTTAAACAAAAAAAAAAAAAAGAATTCAAAGTTGCTTATGAATGGACAATTGGAGAAATGATGATCGATTCCGCGTGCATTCCTCAAAATGAATTTCTACTTGTCAACGGAACACATTTCGCTGAGTCTGCGATTCGAATAATCATTTCGTGCAGGTATGAGAAAGCAGAGACACAAACTGACGGATATAGAGTTACAGAGAAAACGCAATAAGCGCAAGTTCAGAAGATATTATCGCGGACTTAGAATCAGATTTTTGTAATGTATTCTGATTCTTTTGTTTTTAAGGAGATTTTCATTCTTTGCAAGAATATTTGCTAAACAATGACCTGTATTAATTCTTAAAAATAATTTAAATAAATCGAATATTTGAAATGTCACATACAAGAATTCTTATGTGAATCATCAGAATTTTATAATATAATGTTAGGATGTGTATTCTTGTTGCGTCTTCTCACATTCTTCGCATTTTATTTAAGATATATGTAACCATATATTCAGTTGTTGGGTGGAGCACGAGAAAAGAAAAAAAGAGAAGTGCAGAAAGTGCAGTATAAATAGTACAGATTAAAAGAGTAGAGTTTTGCTAATGGGCTAGTCGGTATATTATGTGGTTCTATGATGATATGCAATGCAACAGTGTGCATGCTGTGTCTATATATGTATGATGCTTGGTATACAGTTGTATATTGTCTGTTAAACGTATCTCAGTTTACTTCTAATTGACGGTCCGAGTAAAAACGCATTGATGAAAGAAGAATTACTCGACAATTTGTCATTTCACACATATAAATTTAAATTTAGATCAGTCGCTAAGTGATTGTTAAAAGATATCTCTAACGTTTATCGATTTCTAAGGTTAAATCGTGAGATTTCTCAAGATCTCTCTTTCTATACTTTTCTATTGCGATTTTTTTCTTTTTCTTCTTCCAAATTCTAGATACACAAATGCACATTCGTTTTATTGTAAAAAGTATAAATTAAATAGTAGAAAGTATAACACATATTACAGCTACAAAAGATGACATACCACTTTGCAAACATGTCCTCTATATTTCTTTCAAGTAATATATCAATTGATATTTTTATTTATTTGATATGTTCATAGTTATTAGTTATTAATTAAATATATGTATGTACATGTTTTCAGGCCACGTTTTTAAAAATCCAGAGGTAGTTAACATTGTCTTAGAACCCGGTATATGGTAAGTTTGAGAATTCTATATATATCTGTATCATTATTTTGATTATTTGATCTAATAATAAAATATACAAATTAATGTTTAGCTCTAAGGATGAAGAGGTGGACAATGACTGTGTAGTAAGAGCACGTGGTCTTCCTTGGCAATCTTCGGATCAGGATATTGCAAAGTTTTTTCGTGGATTAAATGTTGCCAAGTAAGTATATATATGTAAGTAATACTTAAGATTTATGAAATAAAATCAAATACAACTAACGAAGTGTATTTGGTTAAACCAAATGAATTTTCTTCTATGTAATATATCTCTTGGTATTTATGCACAAGCCACATGGATGTATGTGAAGCAGGTAATTGAGATAATTGTATTCCTATAATGCACTTAAATGCACAAATTTAGTTATTCTAATTTCCTCCATATGACATAAGTGCAATTTGAGGAAATTTTCTTACTTATAACTGTTATATATAGTGATAAGCACTATTTGGAGTTATGGATCTTACGTATGTTACTGTATGGATCTAACAATGATTTTGAAAATTAAATGTCAGAAAAAATGTCTCTAATACTTGTTATACTTATTTACTTTACAAATTCTCTAACAACTATTTGTAATAAAAAAGCTGATATCACTGTACGACAATATGCTAACAATGGTGTAATAACTTTTTTAGAGGTGGTGTAGCTCTTTGTTTAAGTCCTATGGGAAGACGTAACGGCGAGGCATTGGTACGATTTATTAACAAAGAACACAGAGACATGGCGCTGAAACGACATAAACTTCATATGGGTCCACGTTACATAGAGGTTTACAAGGCCTCTGGAGAAGATTTTGTTGGCGTTGCTGGTGGTACGAGTGGGGAGGCGCATGCTTTTCTGTCACGTGGGGCTCAAGTTATCGTTAGAATGAGGGGCTTGCCATATGATTGCATTGCTAAACAAGTGGTATATAATTATTTAATAATTTCAAATTCAATATTCAGTATGAAATAAGGATTGTTTTAGATACATATTTTTTTTATTTTTTATTATATGTACAATATCAGTAATTTTTCTATAGCTGGAATTTTTTCAATCCGGACAAAAACCATGCCAAGTGTTAGATGGTGAGGACGGAGTGTTGTTTGTAAAGAAGCCTGATGGTAGAGCAACAGGTGATGCTTTTGTATTATTTGCAAAGGAGGAGGATGCCGTAAAAGCTCTAAGCAAACATAGAGACTGTATTGGTAGTCGATATATAGAACTCTTTCGAAGTACAACCGCAGAAGTGCAACAAGTAGGTGCAATAATCACATGAATATCTTAACAATTAAAAATGTAAAATTTCATTCACATTTTAATTTTGTTATATACAGGTCTTAAATAGAGCAACTGATCCAAAACAAGTAATACTACCACCACCACCTATCACACAACTTCCACCCTTGCTTCCTCAACATATCATTACATCTGGCACACGTAAGGATTGTGTTAGACTCCGTGGTTTGCCTTACGAAGCACTCGTAGAGCATATTTTGGAATTTATGGGCGAACATTCCAAAAATATTGTCTACCAGGGTGTTCATATGGTTTACAATGCACAGGTATATATTATATAATGTTTACGTTTTGATCAGATACTTTTGTGCTGAAAGAATTATTTTATATATTTATTTTGAAATTGTTTCATTAGGGTCAACCATCTGGTGAGGCATTTATTCAAATGGACAGTGAGGCATCGGCATATGCGTGCGCATCGCAGCGACACCATCGGTACATGATCTACGGCAAAAAGCAGCGATACATCGAAGTGTTCCAGTGCAGCGGCGATGATATGAATTTGGTATTGACAGGTGCGGTAACACCACCCTCGACCAAGGCGCTACTATCACCCGGTACGTTGACCACACAAACTTCCGCGACTTTGACGCATCCGTCTGCGCCGACAGCGATGCCGGTACCGGTACCGACAGCGCAACCACCACCACCCCTATGGGACATTCACGCGCTGGTACAGGCCCAAGCCGCGCAGCACGCGCAAGCGCAGGCCGTCCAGGCGCAAGCCGCCCAGGCACAGGCTATTAGGAATCAGGATTTGTGGTTGATGGCTTTGGCGTCGAACTCGTGTCCCACCTCGACCCCTGCTTCACCTACTCCGACTGCCGCTGCTGCCGCCACGAGCAAGTCTCTCGCTTTACAAAGCCAGATTCCTGCCGCTTACGCGATGGCATCTCCGACGGCCGCCGCGGTCGCAGCCGCTGCGGCATTTCATGCGCCATCGGCAAACTCGGCGGCAGCAGCAGCGGCAGCGGCAGCAGCGCCATTTTTGCTTTTCAACGTTCATCCCCATCATCCCCGTATACCCTTTTTACGAGCGCCGACGTCGCATGGGTTATTGACACCTATCGCTATGGCCGCTACGCCGACGTTAAATCCGGCCTCAATAATAAGCTTGAAACGAACATGGGATGCCACTTTTCCCGCTAACGCGGCGAACAACGTCGGTGCAAAACGCCCAGCCTGGCACGCACCGGCTGCAGCGTTTCACGCGCCGGCTCCGGCCACGACGCCCAGCTTGCCTTACCCAGCTCAATTTTATCCCCAAATCTGATTGGTCTCTAGCTTGTTTTTATAAATCTTCTAGGATTTCATGTAAGGAGAGTGATAATAATCATCTCGTTTCTCCACTGATGATTCTCTGTTGAATGAGCGAGAATTTCTCATTCGCGCGAAATATATATTCGCCGTTGCTACTATTGCTGAAGATCGCCAATTGTTACGACTTATTTTTTAACAAATTTATATATATTCTTAGCGAATACATATTATAATTATTCGCGATATCTTCGTGACATTCCGTTTCATATTCCGAGCAAGTTTAACAGAACGTCATTTACAACGTTTGTCCAAATAATAAAGAATAGTTTTGGAGTTTTTTTTATAAATTCCGGCGTTTTTTTACTTATACGACGGTACTTAAAATGATTCCGCGAAATCCGATTTATTTTTCTTATCCTGATGCATTTAGGCAGCAAGCTTAATTTTAGTAAACATGTTAATTATATTGATATATATATATATATATATACACAAAATATGGTATATATAATTCCACTTAGCGTGCGCATATATTCTTTTTTTTGTAACTCACGGAGAATTCGTGTTCACAGAGTGCCTAAGAGAGATCATGTCATAAAAAATTCACGTTTACTTTACGTGAACGTAAAGTGCCTTATTTAAAGTAACATAAATATGAAATATTTTGTCTAATTCTCTAAATTTTAATGAGCTACATGTATGTATGTATTTTTTTATATATACATATATGCAGAGCGTTTCAAAATTATGGTGGTGCATACACAACTTACGTTTTTGAATTTTATCAAAAATGAATAGGTCTTTTTGGAAATCCTAAAATTGTTATCAGGTACTTTGTACCGTAAATATATTCTCTTATTGATATATCAGATATTAAAGTCTGTGATTCTCTGGTAATTGTTTAAAATTTTTGTTAAAATAAAATGAGATTTTATATCAATGTATTATTCACGTTGTTTTGCGTTATAATTGTGACATTTAATAGCAATTGCAGATACTTATGACTTTAATGTCTGATATCTCGTAATGGCAGTGAAAAGTGCGGAATGAAAGAATATTTCGTGAGAAAGAAAGATTCGAAGAAAGCCTGTAAATCGGTTAGAGATAAAATTTTTATTATGTGTGTATGTATATACGTATTTACATACACACACATATAATATAAATTGTTTCTCTAACAACACTGATTTACAGGTTCTTCTTGAATCACTAAATATTCTCTCGTGCGTGTGTGTAATAATTTATATATATTTTGCTAGAAATATATTTACTATAGTATGTAAGTGTATTAGTAAACATTCCATACGATATTACATATTTTGAAACTCTAAAATAGTATACTAGATTCTTTTATACACGTGGAATTTATTACGCGCAAGTATGTTACAGTCTGTGTGTGTATGTGTGTGTGTAAATAAAATTTCATTATAAATTATTCGCGAACGAATATGGGACAGTTCACCGTTAATTCATTTTGTCATGAATTTATCTTTCTTTTTTCTCTCTATAATTATGACATATAAATTTCATCTAAAAGTTATTATATATGAATTAATTTCTACGGAGTTATATGTGAATCAATTTCTATTTACACACAAAACTTGTTTTGCTCTATTTAACATATTGGGTAAAAAAATGTACACGCACGTATATGTAGCGTTCATTGCACTTAATACATGTCATTATGTGATGTGTATTAGTATGTTCGTCAATTTAACGAACCTTAACGTATACGAAAGTGATCTATACCACTAATTCAATCGTGTGTAACTGATATTTTATTATATCGAGAAAGTATGCACATTAATAATCGGATGGTTTTGGAAAGTATCCGAGATAATAACGGAGAATGAAGATAGTCGAATTAAACACCGGTCCTGTACGCTCACACGGCTTGTGATTTAACTGTGGTGTCGGCGGTATTTACTCTTTTCATAGCTATGGCTTACGGCCTTTAATATTTTTGTGATGATGTAGTTGGTAAGATCATTGAGACACAGATGGATAGAATGATGTACTATAACTTGAGCAACGGCTTTATCGGAAATGCACCTTCTTACCGATTTTATTCTTGTAGATGGCTGATATTACATACATATATGTGTATGTATATATATATATATATATATATATATACACGCACTGCCATGTCAATAACTAGAACTTTCATCATTGGTATCGTGTAATTAACGTGCTTTAAAAGAGAAAAAGATAACGATCCTCACGTATGTAGTCGATCTTGATTCTTGTTGCATGGATCGCAAACTATTGTTTTTGTAATTTCACTTCTTTCTCTTGCCACGTTTTTTAATTAATAATATTAGAATAATGGGATATAGCTATATAGATATGTACATCGACATGCGGGAGGCGGTCATTATTACTATTCCAGAATCTAATGTCTACAGATATGCGATTTTGGTTATAAGACATGTGGTTTTGTGGAGGTATACACTTTGCTCCTGTACTTTAACTATTATACGCGTGAAAGACTGCATAACGCATCCCCGGTTTCTTTTTCCCCAGTTTTCTTTCTATATATGATATTTTTTCTTTGTGTATGACACATGTTATAAATCAATAATTGTTTCTTCAGACATTATTCTATACAAGAATGCTCTCCTCGCTCTCCTTTCTCTCGAATCATTTCGTAAATTTTCCCCTTTTGCAACGCCTGATTCTATATAATTATCTTACTTTCCACAAGAGACAGATACAGTAAAATCATATAGAATTGGATCAAGTAATAATAATAATAATAATAATAATATACATAAAGAGCGCAAATATCATCTTAGTTCTATTTTGTCATAGCAGCTGCAGAAAAATATCTGCCAACATACATTATTTATTAGACATTCTAAATCCGATTCTTGTCTATTAATAACGTAATCATTCGAGAAAATATATTATTTAAAAATAATTGAGGATCATCCATTTTTTTTTTTTAAGGAAATGAATTTCGAGTATAATTGCAAAGTAGATAATTGTTCTTTAATCTCGGGCTACTCAGAATGAAATGACTATCATTTAATATAGATATTACCTATGATTTTATAAGGGACCAACAAATAAAATACAATATAATTAATATTAATAATAATATTGTAATTGTCTATTAATATTGTAATTGTCGCTATTAATTGTCAGTAATCGGACAAAAGAAATCATAATAATAGTGAAGACGCATATATTGTCAATCATTTTGATTAGCGTTCCGGGATTACTATATAATTGGATTGTGCATTTCTGAAATCCTTAAAATATTGGGGCCGTATCATTCGATTCGATTTTACGTAGCATTACCTAATTCTTATCATAGACATAGCAACAGCGAGACGATGCGAAACGGACTGGTGTGTTACCAAGTCAGGCTATTTGTGTAGATAATATTGGATACGTAGTGGATGCAAATTGAACGATGAGGGATCTCGATATGCACTAATGTCATTTCCGCATCGTTCCATAGGGGTGCATCTCGGAGTGTTTAGTATAAGTGTATAGAGCGCGCGTGCAAATGTTCTAAGCATAACCAAACAATTAACACGCAAACATAACGAATATGTACACATATACACTATATATATATTTTGTGTTATATACATATTTTTAACACACACATAAACATACATACATACACACACATACACATACATACATACATACATACATACATACATACATACATACATACATACATATATATATATATTTATGATATGTATATATATGTATGTATGTATGTATGTATGTACTGGTTGTGAAATACTATATATATATATATAGTGTGTGTGTTTCAAAACCAACAGATGTTTATTTAATAACAACTGTTTGATCAATTTTAAGTAGATTTTGCTTTAGCGATAATGTTATAGAAAATTGTCGTTTATTGCAATTGTTTTTATTCCAAATTGTCATTTATTCCAAATTGTCATTTATTCCAATCGTTTTTATTATTCGTCTAAATAAATCTCAAATTAAAATTTTATTAAAGTAAACTCCACTCTTATGAACTTAATTAAAAAATGTAGTTTTATTATTCATTTAGCTCTTCCAAAGATTTGTTTGCAAAAAACTTTTCTCGTTTGCTAATAACTCCAAATATTGATTTCGATTGACTCGACATTTTCACTAAGGAAAAATCGACTCTAAATTAGCCAAAAAATTTGTCATTGAAATATATCCATGGTTTCGGAACACTTTATATGTATACATATATTTTTTATGTTATATATGCAGAGTGATTCCGGAAAATTGTGATAAATTTAAAGCAGTGGTAGATCTCGTTAAATTGAACAATTTTTATTAAGTAATCCATATACGACGACTCTTTCTTGAGGCGTTAGGATATGTTTTTAAATTTTGTTTATCTTTTTTTTATTAATATACAATAGATATGTTCAAAATGGCGGCCCTTAATCTCGTTATAAGTATTGCACTTACTTAATGCATTGATTGATGTCTAACGTCTTAAGGAGGCATCGCCGAATATGGGTAACTTAACAAAAGTTGTCCAATATAACAGGATCTATCATTCTTTTAAATTTGTCGCAACTTTCCGGAATCACCCTGTACATATATACATAAATTTGTTATTTTAATCAATATTTTCCTTCCTTTTTTTTTTTTTTTTTTTTTTTTTTTTTTTTTTAAATTTTTCTTTTTTTTTTTTTGTATAGGACAAAACGTAGTATATACATATTATCTATACATACGCACACTCACACATGTTACATCTCAGTCAGTATAATCTCTCTTTTTTTATTTCCTGTATACACTGTATATCGACGATTTTATATCGACAGTCGAGAAGGATCATGTTTAATAAATGTGCCTTGTGGAGATATATATCTTTTTGCTTGCCGGGTTGGTGGACTCTTACCTTGAGATTATATTACCTTGTCCGATGGTTGCACTTTTTGCGTATCCCGTTACGTTTCCTACAACGTACATTTTTTTGCGCTTTCTGCAATTTAATATGGGAGACATAGTATCTAAATTTAAAAAAATTGAGTTAAGAATAACAATTTTTCACGTAGTTGTCAAGATCATTGAGCGATTACAGCTCTCATTCCCATTATAAGAAAGACCGGCAAAGATTGCAACCATCATGTCTTACTACGATCTATACATTTTTTTCCATTGGGCTCACAGGTATCTTGGTATTTACAGATCACACAAATTGGAGATTTCTGTAACTCTTTCTCTCCTTTCTTCCTTCCTCTCCTTTTCCTTTTTCTCTCTCCCCTATTCCTTTCCCCTTTTCCCGTCTCTTTCTCTTTTTGGATTGTTCTCTTTGTTCTTCTTTTTTTTTTTTTTTTTTTTTTTTTTTTTCGTACAAAAATGGTTTGTTTTTTCTTTCTTTTTTTTGCTCTTTTTTTTTTTTTAATCTTTCTTTTTATCGTGCAAAAATGGTTTGTTTTCTCTTTCTTTCTTTTGCTCTCTCTGTTTCTCTGACATTTTATACGTGAATCTTCCGTCTCCTTATCTCTGGTCGGAAGATTAAAGATTCCCTAACAATAAATGTCTCTCTCTTCTCACATTCATTTATGATCACTCTTTCTGAGATGTTAAATTCCCAATTTATTAAAATAGGATGCTATTAAAAGTTATCCTTCAATGTGGTCAATGCCTACAAGCCATTGCTTTTTGCTACGCTGATCATTCCAATGATCTATTTATTTAAAGACTAATACATAGTAATCTACCAAATCTTATTTGTTCTTTTCACGTCGCGTGTATTATGCGTTTTTCTCCTACATTCCTGCAAATACGATAAGAATTCACAAATTGTGTAAAATTTATGATTTACTATTCATATTACATTTCTACTCCAAGTATTTATTTCACGAAGTAATTTTATTAAAATAATCTTTTATAATTTATTACTTATTCTTTTTGTTCAACATAAATAGATAAATAAATATATATAAATATTTGATAAATGAGACACACCAAAAAAATTCTAGAAGAAAAAAGTCTTTGCTATATTTTGCAGGCTAAAAGAGAAAAAATTATATAAGTCGTACTTTTTGTTATAAAATGTCGCATACAAAAAGGCTTTTTCGCTTGAGAGGAAAGGAATTGAGAGAGAAAGAGAGAGAGAAAGAAATCAGGGAGAGAGAGAGAGAGAGAGAGAGAAAGAGAAAGAGAAATGAGAGAGAGAGAGAAAATGAGAATCTGCGTGTATCTGATTATTTGGCAGTGGGGCGGAATCACAAGTTGGTGCTGCATTATACACATACATACATGTATACATACATAAACATACATATATACATACATCTATACATACATACATACATACATACATACATACATACATACATATATACATACATACATATATACAGATACACAGGCACATTATGTATACACCTTTATACATCGTGTTACAATGGTGCAGTGTCGATTTCTGTTATGGTAGCGGGATCTACAAATACTAACTTCTGTGCTTCCAGGTAGGCCAAGTCCAAGTCATTATTCCTTTGGATATGACTGTGCCCTTGTACGTTCTGGGCAGAATAAGCATAGGGAGATTATATTTTATAACTTTTAATGTACATCGTATAATACATCTAGTAGTAAAAATTATTAAAAAAATTTTAAATACTGTTATCTGCGTATTTTATGTTATAATCTAATTTAATTATAGCGCTCCGTAAAATATTTGCTCAAACCGTACAAGACCAGTCTAATTAAAAGTGAAATCGTGCAGCGTACGAACTTAGGAAATCTTAGTGGTTATTTTCCACTAAAAAAAAAAAAACCTATTCACTAATTACTTTTATAGTATGGACACGCTGTTGTGTATAGTCGACTGTATACTGGCGCATTACTGGTACTAAATAATGAAAACGCTTTGTGTGCTTCTAGAAACCTCTGCGGATCTGCACGATGTCACTCGTCGTAATTGTGGAGTGGTTACATAGTGGGCATTTTCTTCTTTACGTTTGTACATACATAATGGACGATCATGGGTACTAAGAGAGAATCTCTTTTTTTTCCGAACAATACGCTAAAATTGAGACGCGATATTTTGATTCATGATTTACAAGATGATTATAAGCCCGCGAATCGCGATTAGAGAGAAGTATCCGCGAGAGAATCGCAGTAAATCAATAGAAATAAGCCTGCTTTTTTTTTATTTACTCGCGCGTCAAATTTAACCGAGCTGGCTAATTGGATCATCTCAATCGAACACATTGAATCTTACATGTTTTCTTTCTTCTATAGGAGGCACGATGTTGCCACCGCCGCCTGTAGCAATATTTCCGCCTGCGACCGCGATGCTGCCTCGTGGTCCGCCGCAATTCGCGACACCGTATCCACCGCCTATTTTCTATTGGCCTTATCCTTCACCGCCAGTTAGTCCGACTAATTATTATACTCCCGCGAATGTCGGCGGTATGGCGCCGATTCCTCAACAAGCGGCTCTGGTAATTAAAACCTTATATTTTCTTTATTCTATCGAAATAAATAAAAAATTTGATATATATTTTATCATATAAAAAGATATAAATTTAAAAACATCTTATTGTTATTATATGTATGATATATAAATTAAAACAGAATAATTATTTTAACTTTGCAAGTTGAGTTTATTCTTGGTTGTATATTTCAAGATTGCATGCAATTTGTTCAATTTTTCGCGTTATGTATTTGTAATTAATTGTTTAATCATTTTTACGTGATCATTTTCATCAATAGCTAGTTGTTCCAAAGTAAATCGTATGTTTTCAGTTGACACCAGCTGAATGTCTGCAATTAGCGTCCGCAGCGACGACGATGCCAACAGCTACGTCTACACCGACAGGTCTCGACACGTGTATTGAAGCGTATCTACCGCGGGTGGAACTGGAGAAACGGATGGCTGCATTGCCTCCACCGCAGACCGAATGCAATCCCTTCATCGAGGTTTTCATGGTTTGATTTTCTCGCCCGAATTTTCTTGCCGATTGATTCTCGTCCTGATTCCTTGTCTAGGTGTACGTATTCCCGAGTCTGTAATGTGGCAAAAAATCGAACCGTTTAAGCATTTTACTTGACTCGTGGAAAGAGATCATTATTACATAAAATTATCTACACGAATCCTTTCAGAATGGTTTCTGTTCTCGCGTCGTCGACGAAGCTTAGCCGACGATTTTTAGTGAGAAACGTCGTACATGGCTGACCTAGATAATATATACGTCATATACAATGTATATGTACGGCAAAAGTGCAAAAAATGCAATTTCGCTCTTCGCGTTTCTCCCGAAGGAAACTTTCCTTGTAAATCTCCGACGCACTGTTCGTTAGAACGGCGCATTTCTTTCTAGTCTAGAGATGGATAGGAGCCGTTGTAGCGCGTTGCAACAGCGGCGTCGTTCTTTTCTCGCTGTTTGTTCCGATTTCTCCGGGGATGAGACGAATCGTGTATTGCATTTTCTTCCATTCAATTATATATAAAAAAAAAAAAAAATTTTTTATTACGTTGCTTTTACCTTTCTCGTTGTGACGATGGGGATCATACTTCGATTCTTCGTCGTATTTTTGCACCGATTTAAGGAGCTTGCGGGATTAAATATTTGAGTAATCGATTCAGGTGCGTCCCGCGTTATAAAAATATATACACAAATTATAAAATTAAATA